TCTATGTTCTCTGTCTCTCACTTTGTCTCTCTGTCTCTGTCTCTCTCTCTCTCTCTCTCTCTCTCTCTCTCTCTCTCTCTCTCTCTCTCTCTCTCTCTCAATGACCTTTAACTTGAGTCCAAGATGACAGTGGGAGCAGTAGAAGTCATATTACCTTATAGCTTTAAGAAGCAATGTGTACCCCACCCCCTCTCAGATACAGTTACTGGAACTCGTACATCATTTTCACTTGGATCCCATTGTGCACAAATTAGTTACATGGACACACCTAGCTTCAGTGCGAATAAGAAAAGTACTCTTTATTCCAGGCAACTACGTGCTCACATTTTAGTGGAAGAGGGGAGAATAATCTCTTCCATAGCAAGGCACAGCAGGAATTTGCTTCCTTTCTTGGCCTGGCCCAGAAAACTGCTGAGAACCTGGGCCTTTAGCAAGGGAGCCAGGCCTGGAAGAATAGTTGGAGTCTCTTCTCTTTCTAATTAGTGGTACATAGAAATCTATTTTCTAGCATTTTATCTTAGACACATCTGGGATAATTTTGATTACTGTTTGCAAGCACATTCCCAGAAATCACAGCCACAATAGCAATAACTATATAATAGTAAATTGTAAAACATCATGAAATGAGCACAAGCAACTCACCAAATTATGATACATATAAAGTATGAGGAAAACATTGTGAATGGTTAAATTAGAAAACATTTTTGTTACGATAAAAGACCCATTATCATTAATTCCCTTCTAAATACTCCCCTCTTGTGCAAACACACTTATCCCTTTTTTCTTGCTGCATTCTGACGCACTTCTGCAAGACACCTTTCATGAGTATCTTTAGTTGAGCTCTCTTGTGTGTCTTAATGTCCTGATTTAATTCAAAACATTCTTCTTTTGTGACTGACATTGAGGAAGAGGCAGAAGTCATGGGATACCAGACACACCAGAACAGGTAGATGAAGACACTGCAATGTTGTTAGGAGCAGTCACTGTGTTATTTTTATCATACTTTATAAAAATACCTATGAAAAAGATCTTAAAGAACAGCTTCAGAAAGTAGCAAAAATGATGGAATCATTGTGCATCTGTAGTACTGGAAAGTATTTCCTGATGTAATTAAAAGCAAATTTATCTTTTACTGTAACATGTTTTTTTAAAAAAAATTGTACCCGTACAAATTCACTAAGATGAACATGATATATTATACACATATGAACTGTACCAATAAATTTAATTATAAAAAAGAAAACAATTGCTGGGTATATTTGCACAACCTATAAACCAGCTTTTGGGAGGCTGAGATAGGAGAATTACTGGAAGTTTGAAGCCAGCTTGGATTACATAGGGAGTTCAAGGCAAACCTGAGCTACACAGTGAGACCCTATCTTCAGAAGCTCTATTGTACAATGGGGTTATGGTCAAATTGGACTCTGACATGCTTTTTGAGTAGTCAGCTGACAAAATAAATTTTATAATTTGTAGACTTGGTGACAAAATAGTACTTAGGATACAATATAATAGGTTGTATTCATTTTTTTTTTGAGTTTGTAAAGGATCCTTTATTTTGAGAGTACATGCTTCCTACTACTGTTACTATACATTTTACTTTACTTTAAAAACCATTGTGACAACAGAAGCTACTTGGAACTGGTTTAAAAGATACATTTGTTTTGCTAAATATAATGTCTACAATATTTTTTCAGGCCATCTATATGTAATTTTGGAATTTTACCAATGCTTCAAACTTAACAGACCTAAGAAATACTAATCCAACTTAATTTTTTTTCTTTTCAAAGTTTTATTGATAAACATATAGCAATGAGACAGTTTCAAATCAAATCGAAAGTACAGTTTCAACAAATAATACACTGCATATATTCTTCTTAGTGGTTAATTGCTGTACAAGATGCAGACTTGTGATCCTACTTACAAACACCATTAGAACAAAACATTCTATTCATTAAGAGAATGCAACTATATATCTATCCCAACCACTTTGAATACACAGATACAAAATGGACATTCATAGTTATATCCCAATTTTTTTCAGTTCCGTTGTTGAATATTATAGGTGTGTAAACTCAGCAAAATATTCTAAAAGAGTCCAGTAGCCCATAATAGCATTGGGTCTTCTGTTTAACTGGCAATGTCAGAAATTATTGACCTGAGCCCCCGTATTCACTTTTGACAAAAATAGATAAATTTTTAAATGCCTGAATTTCTTCATTAGCACTAATTAACAGTTATTTTATATGAGTATCTGAATGTTTGGATCACTGGTTGGTATTAGCACTACAAGTTCAGGACAATAAAATTAGAGAGTAAATGCAGACAAGTTGTGATCAATTTAGAGGGCTATTTTACTAGATGAACAAAATAATCAGTGGCTTACCTACCATAATTGTCTATATTGGTTTAATGAAGCCTGGCAGTAATTCCTCATGAACTCTCCACCTAGAAGCATCACCATTTTTGATTTGACCTCTTAAGCACTGCGTAACCTAGCATTTCTCCCTGTGTGTACCACAAAGGCTCTAAATCAGATTGGACAAGATTGCAGTTGCACAAATCACTTTTGAACACTTTATTATGTAGTTCTACATTTCTGAAATCTCTGTGATAGGTTTCCTTAAAGAGTTGAGGTATGTCTTGAATTCCTAATTCTTCTTTTTGTCTAACAAAGATGCCTCAGCCTAGTTTCCTTTCTTGTCTTTATTTCCACTCCTCATAGAACTAAAATCAGTGCTTTATTCCACTAATTATATTGGTTTGGGTATATAGTATTTTTATTTCCTTAAATTAATAAATTACATGTAAGTTACAGACAATTTTTGTTTTCTTATTTGTCTGGCACAACTGGAGGTCAAGCCCAGAAACCTGCACATGCCAGCCAAGGGTTCTGCCACTGAACTGCATCCCAACCTTTTTTTATCTTTTAAACCTTAAGACAGGGTCTGAGTAAGTTGCCAAGACTTCCCTGGAACTTGTGATCCTCCTGCCTAGGATTCCTGAGTAACTGGGATTATAGGCATGTATAACCACACATATTTGACAACTTAATGTTTTTTAGTGGGAAGGAAGGGGTAAAAATTTATTGATTCAAAAAAAAGAGAAAGAAAAATATGAAAAACAAGATTTTAAGCCAAGGACACAACTCAGTGGCGTAAGTGCCTACCCGGCAAGCACAAGGTCCAGAGTTCAATCCTCAGTTTTTTTTAAAAAAAATTATTAACTCTTCTTGATATGTAAGAAACAATGAAAGAGGCATATCAATGAAATTCATTATAACTGGCATGAATGTATGTTACTGACAGACTTGACTTGTATTACTTGCATGTAAAGGCAGTTTAATTGCATGAAATTAAGTCAAATAATCATAGTAGATCACAATGATTGACATCATTTCCATGTTATAAGGCACTTGGTATTTGTCATAAAAAATTTGTCCCCAGTGTTTTAAGTATATTTGTTTTGTGACACAACTGAAGACCTTCTTTTTAACAGGACACTGACAAGTGCCGGTAAAGACCTGCAAGATAATTTTCTGAAGGCTCTGGCTGTGAGAGAAGAGGACAATCGCAATGGGAAAGTGAGCGTGAGTACACCTCCCCCTCAGTCTTTTGGGACTGTTCTCTAAAGGCACAGTTAATATTGATAAAAATAACATACATCGAATTCCCCACAAAGAGTAACTTATGGGGGATAAAATGTGACACTTACTTATGTACTATAGAAAGGTCTTTTGTTTCTTTTTATTCTCATTTACATCTAAAGAAATTTCTAAATGGTGAAAAAAAAGTTGAGATACTAAATATCTGTCAACAACAAGAAAATGGCAATAACTACTTGTCCTGTTCAACTTTGGACTAGTCCTGTGCTGAAAAGTCCTAGTTTCTTGCAGCCCAGTCTGCGGTTACACTGCTCCCCACAGCGATTCTCACTCCTGTCCACCTGATCCTATGGGAGTCATAGAAGATTTATGTACAGGCTTCCTTGCCTACCCAGAAACTGTGGCAGACACCACATACTAGAAAGATATAATTTTGAATTGCACAGGAACATGCTTTTGCTTTTTAAAAATATATGCCAAATCAAATATGTAAAGATTGCCAATATATTTGGAACATTTACTTTCATTCTTTGTTATTATAGCATTAATGATAATATTCTATGTAAGTATTAAAATGTTTCAAATAAAATTTAATAAAATGCCAAGTTCCTATGCTGAAATTATAGTGACTGATTTATAGTAAAAATAATCAGAACTAACGTAATAAAAATTGAGAGCAGGTGAGATGGCTCAGTGAACTAAAGCAAGCTTAGACAAGCTCAGGGACTGGGGTTTGATCCCCGGCACCACATGCTGCACTGGCCCCACCTCTAGTGTCTGCTGAGCCAGCTACAGAGTCCGAGCATGGTGGTGCAGACCTGTAATCCCAGTTCTGGGGAGGCTGAAAATAGAAGGACCTCTACGAGTCCGAGCTGTGTAGTAAGACCCTGTAGCAACCAAGTACATTAGAAAATAAAAAATTAGAGCTGTAGAAAAATATGTGAACAAGGAAAATATTTCCCAATGTTTATTCAACAAAGGAGGAACCTTATTGATTACCAAGTCCACTGAAAATTTCATATTCATTGAAAATATTCCACTAGCATTAAAAACAGGTAAAATAGATAAACCTATTCTAGGTGTAGGCAAAACGTTTCTTAACAAAAACCCTACTTACAGTAGAAATAATCAAAGAATCAACAAAGGGGATCATATCGAATGTAAAACCTTCACAGCAAAGATAACTACTAATACAGTGAAAATACAATCTATACAATGGGAAAAATATTTTGCACTGAGATTCTGTTATGGGTTGCGTGTATGTGTCCCCCAAACTCTCATGCAGGCATGAGGAGGACTTCTAGAGGTCATGATTAATTCATGATTTAATGCTGGGATTATGGATGCGAGCGCTAGTGGAATTACGGGTGTGCCTGCTGGACTCACCCTGGGACAGATAGCCTGGATGCAGTATAAGCGAGTAGATACAAGCTTGCTTTCTCTCCTCCTCTGCGGTTGTTGCTGCTGCTCCTTCCTTTTGGCTCTTGCTGTTTTGCTATCTTTCAACTCCATGAACTGCTGCCCTCTGCCATGTGCCACTCTGCCTTGCAACCAGCTGAGTATGGACTGAAACCTCTACAAACTGTGAGTTAAATAAACCTTTCCTTCCCTAACTTTGGGTATTGCGTATTTTGTCCCAGCAATGAGAGAAAAGTAACTTGGACAGATTTTTTTCTCATGCCAGAAAGAATGGATTAATTGCCAATCTAACTGGATTAAGGGACTCCCAAAGAGGTGACTGGCTCATGGGGTGCCCTTTTCTCCTTTTTTTCTTCCTCCTCCCTTGTTATCCTTCCTATTGGAACAAGGTTTTCCAACTTGACAATGTCTATCCCTCATTTTGCTTCTTATTTACCCTTTGCGTTTCTCACACAAGAAAAACAATACTATGTTTAAAACTATGGTCTTGAAATGCATCCATTTACCTAAAAATGTCTCAAGATTGTCATTCTTTGTGGCCGAATAATACTACATTGTACATAGGTACTACATTTTTTAAAATCCATTTATCTGTTCAACGTATTGGCTGTTTCCAAGACTTAGCTATGATGAATCATGCTGCTATGAACATGATGATGAATAGATTACTCTGGTATGCTATCTTTAACTCTTTAGGAAAGATACCTAGGTGGGGAATACTTGGTCAAATGGAATTTCTATTTTTAGTTGCTTTGAGGAATCTCCATTGTGGTTGTAATGGTTTGCAGTGCCATGAACAACGGAGAAGGGTTCCTTTCTCCCCAGCTTGTCCAGCATTCATTATTGGTTGATTTCATGAAGTTAGTTATCCATGGATTAAGCCACTGGTGTGTTCACAGCTAAATACACTGTGAGATACAGCTACAGGGGTGCCTCCGAGGGTGTCTTTAGAAGGCTTGGCTCTTGCTGGGCCTCTTTCCCTGAACTCTGCTTCCCAGCTACCATGAATTGGGCAGCTTTGCTCTACCATGCCCTTCTGCTGCGATGCCCCCACCCTGGTGCCAGCCAAACATGGATGGAAATCCCTCCAAGATTGTGGGCCAAAAAACTTCTATAATTTGTAAGTTTCTATCTTTTGTCCCACCAAAAAGAAAACTAAATAATTTAGTATGCCTTTAATATAGAGAACAAATTATACACAGGATAAAGCAGGTATGCCTTGGCTACTTTTCTGTCATTGCTGGGATGAAATACCAGACACACCAAATTAAGAGAGGAAAGATTTATTCAGCCCACAGTTTGTGGAGGTTTCTGACCATACTGGCTGGCTCCAAGCCCAAGTGGCACATGAAAGATGGCAGCATTTCATAGAGGCAGAAAACAGCAAAACAGCAAGAGCAAAAAAGGGATTAGCAGCAGCAGAGGCAGAGGCAGAGACAGAGGCAAGCCTCTTTCCCTTCCTTATATTGTAGTCAGGCTCTCCGCTCCTGGGCTGGTGTAATACTCACACCAATTATTCCAGCAGCTCTCACACATATAATCCCAACATTGTATCATGACTAATCACTAACTCTAGAATTCCACTGCTCCAGGACTACATGAGGCTCTGCAGAGACAACTAGACACATACCATAACAAGATATTAGCAAATGCATTGTAAGATCAGATAAGAGAAGAGGAGATAGTACCAAGGATCAGGAAGATGGCAGGGAGCAGAAGTGCTCCAAGCACTATTTAGAATATAAAATTGCCAAAATGTGGTGACAGATTATGACCAAAGAAGAATTAGGAGAAAAAAGAAGGTCATAGATAACAGTAGCCTGCACAGCTGCTATATTCTGCTTCTGCTCTTTGAAATATGATCCACTGAAGGATCAGGAATTGGGAAGAGAGGTCATGTGCTTGGTTGTGGACATACTGAATTTGAGTTGTCTTGGTCAAAAGTAGACGTGAAGTATTTGAGCTGACAGATAGATATCCTAATCAGCCTCATTTAATCATTCCACAATTTATACGTGTATCAAAATAAAACCCTGTACTCTTTAATATATACAGAATGATTGCTGGATATTTAAAGTATTAGTTATTGAAAAATGGTACATTAGTAGGTAGCTGGTTAAAAGAACTTCTGAACTTTTAAGATTCACCTTCACTTTACTATACATCACATATTTAAGTTTACTATACACCTCAATCAATTTTCTTAACCTCTTCTACTCCTGAGACCTCACATCCAGTTGACTACCAATCTAATGAATTCTACTGTGCACATATCTGTTAAATAAATGTGAAGGAAAAAGGCAAGGAAATCACAACTGCGAGCAATATCCAGATGTGAGAGGTCTGTTACTGTGCTCCAGAGCATGGACAATGCCCTGGAGATGAGGTGTAACTTTGAAAGAATTTCAACAAGTGTCTGATGAGGTCAGCTCATGAGTATGTGGAAATATATGTCTGTAAGGTGAAAGATGAGACATGAACAGGGAGGGTCCACTGAGAGAGGAGGCCATTGTAACAGTTCAGACACCAGAGTGTGAAAAGGTGGGGCAAAGAAGGGACAGATTTACTGGTAGAAAAAGATGAATTTGTTTAGCAGTTAGGAAATGAAGTCTGAAGCGTGCAGAGTGACTTGTTTTTCTGCTTGTTTTGTGCTGAGTCTTTCCCATGCTAAGCATAAGCACAACCACTGAGCTGTACCCCGATGTGCTTCAGTTTGAGGTAGAAAAGAGGGAAGTATGGAGGCCTATTCAGGGTTTTTATCGGGGAAGTTCAATAGGAGAGAAAACAGTTTTTTATTATTTTGACATGAAGATAAGTACCCCACTGCTCTTAGGGGTTCGGTATATTTCAGGAGATAAAATATAAAAGTTGGGGGGTGATAGTAACTAGACTCAAATTCTATATTTACTACTCACCTAGAACTACAGATTGTAAAAAGTTTCCCTAGTTTCAGGTTAATCTAAAACCTAGGTAATTATTTGTGTTTTTAAAAGCATAGTGTCCTGCACTGTAAGGGTGGGTTCAAAACAATACCCTCATTTTAAAAATCATTCAATAATGAAAGGAATATACAGATTAAACAGTTGACATAGTGCATGAAATATGACAAGTATTCCATAAAGAATATGATTTCTTAGGTAGACTGATAACCTCTACAGCTTAAATTGTGAATAACAAGTAAAAAGTATGCGAAACTCTTGTTAGATTTTAAGGAAATCATTAAAAATGTTTGAATTTTTCTTTTGAAAACATGGTTTAAAAGGTTCTTTGAGTCAATTATTTATCTGTAATTTCTACTTGGAATCTAAAGATGGTTGGTCACTGGCAAGATATAAAGGAAATTAGAATATTTAAAAATGATTTATTGAATAATTTTGGTGTTGTAGGGAACCAATCAAACCCAACAAAAAACAAAAAAGCAAATGAAAAACCACTTTGTGATAAATAAAAGGATGAGATACGGAGCCTTTTCTACAGGGTGTCTAATGTAATAGGATTGCATAACTCTTTAAAGTAGCTATAAAACATAGGTGGGGGTATTTTTCAGAAAGCAATAAACTATAAAT